TATTTGGCGAACGGATAAGGGCTGCAAAGTGTGATCAACTCTGTAGGAGGAGCATGGGGGATGTTGGCAAAACGTTGGCACTTATCACATTTGAGCACAAAATCAGTCGCATCTTGATTGAGAGTTGGCCAGAAATAACCAGTACGGAGTATTTTGTGGGCTAGAGACCTGCCGCCCGAATGATTACCACAAATTTCCTCATAGATTTCCCGCATTACATAGGTTCCTTGAGCCGAATTGAGGCATCGCAGGTACGGTCGTGAAAAACCACGTTTGTACAAGACGCCACTGACCAGGATGTAATTGGACGACCGGGCCCTGACTTTGGTAGCCTGCTGTTAGTTATCTGGGAGTTCCCTCATTGTCAAAAATAGGAAGATGTCGGACGCCTAAGGGATGGGTTCATTTTGGAGGAACTGCACTTCTTGTAGGTCGGGTGAGATGGCCGGGTGGGCTAGGTATTTGAGGTGGACACCATGGCTGAGGTCGGACTGGTCTGCAGAGGCCAACTGGGCCATCTCATCTGCCTTAGAGTTTTTCGCCCGAGGTATGTGCTTGATGTGGAAGGTATTGAAGAGGCGAACAAAGGGGAGTGTCATATCCCTGTAAGCCCGCATTGTGTCCTCCTTGGCATTGAATTCCCCCGTAATCTGGCCGACAATGAGCTGGGAGTCGCTGAACATTCGGATGTGGCTGACTCCAATGTCCTTGGCGAGGCGGAGTCCTGCTATCAATGCCTCATATTCGGCCTCATTGTTACTGGCATTAAACAAGAAACGGAGAGCACATTTGAAATAGCCACCCTCAGGGATAGTGAGAATGAGGCCAGCCCCACTACCTTCTCTACGGGATGATCTGTCGACGTTGAGAGTCCAAGAATGCGGGTCTTCTGGCTTTGTAGGGGTTGGTGGGGGTGGAGGGGCAACGGTTGGGGTAGGATTAGTGAATTCTAAGCTGAAATCCACAACAGCTTGTCCCTTAATTGCTGTTCGAGGCCGGTAGGAGGTGTCAAACTGACTGAGTTCCATTGACCACTGCATGAGTCTACCGGAAAGTTCTGGTTGTTGCATGACCTTCTTCAAGGGTTGGTCGGTGAGAACCACTATGGAATGGGCCTGGAAGTAAGGACAGAGCCGTTTGGAGGCGGTGACCAAGGCCAAGGACAATTTTTCTAACAGTGGGTAATTCTTCTCTGCTCCCCTGAGAGCCCGGCTAATGTAGTAGACCGGCTATTGGATAGAGTCGTTTTCCCTAATAAGAGCTGCACTGACTGCGGTGCTTGAGATGGCTAAATAGAAGAAGAGGGGCTCGCCCGTAATTGCTTGCGAAAGGAGGGGAGATTGGCCATGCACTGCTTCAACTGCTAAAAAGCCTCTTCAAATTCAGTTGCCCATTCAAAAGTTTGCCGAAGAACTTTGAAAAATGGTACGTACTTCTATTGCGCAGGAAATGAAGCGGTTGAGGGCTGCAACTCGGCCAGTGAGCCTTTGAACCTCCTTAACCGTTCTGGGTGACTGCATCTCAATCAAGGCCTTGATCTTTTCAGGGTTAGCTTCAATGCCCCGCTGACTGACCATAAAACCCAAAAACTTCCCAGAACCTACGCCGAAGGCGCACTTCTCTGGGTTGAGCTTCATTTGGTACTTGCGTAGGGTGGCGAAAGTCTCTCGCAGGTCGGTCAGATGATTAATAGAGAGTTTTCTCTTGACTAGTATGTCGTCGACATATATTTCCATATTCCAACCTATCTGATGATGGAAAACAGCATTGACCAACCGTTGGTAGGTGGCCCCAGCATTCTTCAGTCCGAATGGCATCACGCGGTAGTAGTAGGTACCTCGGTCGGTAATGAAGGATGTATGTTCCCGATCGGACGAGTGCATCAGGATTTGGTTGTACCTAGAGAAAGCATCCATGAAGCTGAGCATTTGATGACCGGCCGTGGCGTCGACCAGTAGATCTATGCGGGGAAAAGGATAGCTGTCTTTGGGGCAAGCTCGGTTTAGGTCAGAGTAATCGACACAGAGTCTCCATTTGCCATTGTTCTTGCGGACTAGGACCACGTTTGACAACCATTTAGGGTAATCCACGTTTTTGATTAATTGGGCCTCAAGGAACTTGTCAACCTTTGCGGCTATAAGAGTATTGCGCTCTGAATAAAAGATGCGCTGCTTCTGGCGGTAAGGTCAGAAATGGGGTTCGATATTGAGGCAATGAGTTATGAAAGAGGGGTCAATGTCTGGCATGTCTGAATGGGTCCAGGAAAATACATCATTGTGCTCGATTAGAATGGCGGTAAGGTTGGCCTTAGCTTAGGGGGATAGTTGGCTGCCGATCTTGGCAGTTTTCATTGGGTTGGTGGGAGCGATAAGAATCTCAACGAGCTCCTCCACCGGTTCTCCTCTGACCAGCTCGTCTTCATCTCGGACGTCAAGTCCTTCAATGATCATGGCCTCTTTCAGCTTGACTTCCTTGAGTGAGGTGACATAACATTTCCTGGCTACGGTCTGCTCTCCCTTTACTGTCCTGACGCCCAGGTCAGTAGGGAACTTTATGGCGAGGTGGTAGGTTAAAGTGATAGCTTGGAAAGCGTTGAGGGCGGTGCGGCCAAGGATGATGTTGTAGGCAGAGAGACAATCGACCACAAGGAAATTGAGCAACTTGGTAGTCTGCCGTGGGTATTCGCCGATGGTGAGGGGGAGATCGATGGAGCCGATGGAGGTCACCCGGTCGCCAATGAAGCCGACCAAAGGGGTTTGGAGGGGAGACAGACTTTCCTCCCCAATCTTGAGCTGGCGAAAACAATTGAGGAATATGATGTTTGAAGAATTGTCGTTGTCGATGAGAACCCGTCTGACCTTATAGTTGGAGAGGAGGGCCAAAATGACGAGAGGGTCATCATGAGGATAACGGATGCCTGTACAGTCGGCCTCCGTGAAGGTGATGGGCTCTGTCCACAACTTGGGCTGTTTGGAGGGTCAGTCTAACGTGGCAACTGTTTTGTCTGAGCCTTGCCTTATCTTTCTGAGTTCTGCCCTCTGAGCCAAGCGGGATGGTCCCCCACAAGCAAGACCACCTGAAATGACTCGAATTTCACCAACTGGCGGAGGGGGATTACCTGGCGGCCGAGGCTGTTGTGGGGGGCGATCATGGCCTTGGTTAGGTTGGGCTGGCTGCCGACGGTTGTTTCTACGGGGCTCGGTTCTTTGCCTCTGTTGTAGGCAGGTGTCCGTGAACCGACTGAGACGCCCTTGACGTATTAGGGTCTCGACCTGATCCTTGAGGTTGATGCAGCCATCAGTGTTACGACCATGGTCCTGGTGGAAACGATAATATTTGGACTGGTCTTTCCGATTGGAAGGGGTCCGTGAAGGTAGGGGCCATTTAAAGGGGTAGTCCCGTTGGATCTGGTTGAGGACCTGTTCCATGAGAGAATCAAGGGGGGTGTACCGCTCGAACCGACCGTTCAACGCGGGGGGTTCGGTCTGTATAGTGAGGTGTTTGGCTATTATACTGGGTGTTTCTGGGTTCTGAGTATTTTCTCTTTTCTCTGGGGGTCAGGTTTTTAGCTATTGGACCCTGTCGGGCGGCTAGTGAATCTTCAGCATTCATGTATTTCTGGGCTTTGAAGAGTAGGGCTGCCATGGAGGTCGAGGGGTTTTTGGAGAGGAAAAAGAGGAAATCGGATGATCGTAGCCCGGCCATGAAAGCCGTGAGGATGACCTTGTTTCCACTACTGGCAGGGCTTCGGTGTTGAAGCGGGTAACGAAACTGCGCAGCGACTCCTCCTCGGTCTGACGGATGTTGAGGAGCTGGATTGCCGGGCGGCGTTGGCGCTGGGCTCCAATGAAATAGCTAAGGAAGGAATCGATGAGGTGCTGGAAAGTGGAGACAGAGTCTGCTGGTAACTGGCTGAACCATAATCGAGCTGACCCCTTCAGTGTCACGGGGAAAGCCCGACACATGATCTCGTCAGGGAAGGCATGGAGGATCATGAGGGTACGGTAGGTCTCCAGATGGTCGACTGGGTCCGTCGTACTGTCAAAAGAATCAATGGTGGGCACCTTAAACTTGGCGGGCAGAGGTTTGTCCCGGATGGAGGCAACAAATGGTGAGTTTGCCGTGGTAGAGGGTTTATGCTGAATGTTTTGCATGACCCCTTAGAGTTGGAGCTTCATCGCTCGGAGTTCAGCGTCCCAGAGGGGAATGTTGTCACCACGGTCAGTCAAAGGGGACTGGATGCTACTGGCTTCCCCTTCAGGGGCTGGTGCCACGACCGACGGGTGTGGGGGTGGAGGTGGTAGATTTATATGTGGGGGAGGAGGTTACAAACCTTCCAAGTTGGGTGGACAGGGTTGCGGAACAGTATGGCTCAGGGCTCTTTCTTGGTTGGGTGGAATATCTGGAAGTGGTGGAGGAGGCATCGGAAGGTTTCTTTGGAGTAAAGCATTTATCAGGGCCTGATTTTGCTTGACCATGCGATTAATGCTGTTGGTAAGCTCGATAAAATACTGCGGTGGGTTATTTGGATTGGGGGGGTCGGTCTGATGGCCGGCAGCATTATTGTGAGGAGCCATGGATCTAGTCGTGACCATACACTTTGATGGGTAGGGGGAAAAGGTTGTTGGGATAGGGTCTCCGGCGACAATGAGCACAACTAGTGCGCGGAGCAAAGTCTTTCCCACAGACGGCGCCAACTGATGATACAGTTTGTTCCAGTTAATGGATCGGACTGGTCCAAGCTCCTTAAGCCCACCTCCAAATGGTCAAGCCCATCGGATAACCTGCAAACAAGTTCTACGGGGAACTGGATAGTCCCCTAGTGAACCCTCCGATGAGCAAGTTAAGAAGAGAAGTAGAGTGCAGAGGGAGAGATTAGAGATAGAAATGCTTAACCTTCTTCTTGTCTTCAGCGTTTGCTTATATCCTTTGGTAATCATTTCGCAGTCCCTTCCGACCTGACCTCCTCGCCAAAAGTCTATGCTGAAGCTTATCTTATTCGAGGTAAGGGGTCCTGTTCCGACAGAGAGGTGTTGTCGTAATAAATGCGGTGATGGGCTGCATTAATGGTGATGTGCAGTGGTAATAACTTTGCAGATCTTTGTCTGCTGATGTGGCTCGTCCTTTACCTGCCATGTGTCTAAATGTCATTGGCTCTTTATGCCATGTTGGATTCTAACTGTCCTGGACTTCACCAACTGGGTTATGTATTGGGCTCCAAGTGATGGGCTTGGGTTGTTCATAGTGATTCATGGCCTTTATGGGCTTATACACGTCAAATATAATGCTTCATCTGTCTAGTATTGGGGTTATTGGAAAAAGTTTCACTCATTGTCATTGCCGAAGAACTATAAACTATCCAAGGCTTCTGGAAAATACTTGCCGCCGAAGAAGACTTGTCGTTGGAAGACTAGCTGCCAGAGAAGCTTGCACAAATTGGGTGTTGTGACTATGCGTAGGTTTTAGGGTTTTGAAGTGTGTTGGTGGTGATGGAATTGGATGCTCTCAAACCCTATGTTATGATTTTGTAGAGGGTTTAATTGTGAGATGGGATGTCGTAATTGCATTTATGTCATTTTTAATAATTTCATTTGAGGTTATTATTGTAATAAAAAAATAAAAGAAGTGGGGGGTCCAAAGTAATAATTGGAGTATTATTAGTTGCACTCTACAAATATACCTCTTGAGATTTGCTTAAGATACTACTAATTGCCTCATGTGATTCTAAAATTTACATCTCATCTTTTCAAATTTCGTATTCTATAACAACTTACCACTTTCATTAATTAACTATTAAATTAATTAATAATTTTTAATAATGTCAAAAATATAGTTCCATAACATTTCTAGTAATTTTATTGTTGTATAAAAGGGTAATTAAAAATTTTATTTTTTGGTTAATTACGATAAATGAAAAATTCTAGCAATAGAGTATTTGTAATTTTTAAAATAACAATAAACAATTAGTATTTTAAACACCGGTGCTACTAATAGCCTTCACTTTATTACTTAGGCCTCGTTTGGGAACAGGCTAATTTAGTAACTTTTTTGCTATTTGGCTAAAATGTGATGTAAAAAAAACTAGTATGTTTGGGATGACTTTTTGGCTTTTTACGAAAAGATATGCAAAAAATAGAGAGAAAAGGGAATCTTTGATTTTTTGGTATGAGTTGTTGGCTTTTTGACTTTTTTAGTAACTTTTTGGCTTTTTGACTAAAATAGTCTCTTGCCAAACGAGGCCTTAGAGCATTTTCAACCCACCCTCTATATCTTTACATTTGAAGGATTTTCGCCTCCAACCCATCCTCTAAATCTATCTCCATTTGGGAGGATGGGTTGATTTTTCATATTTAGAGAGATAATGAAAAATAGAGAAGAACTCTAACACATCATTCAATTTTTTAATTTTTTTTTAAAATATCAAGTTTGTCTTCAAGATTTTTTCATTTCAAATTTATATACATATCCTTTTGTAGTTTTGATAATATATTATAAAATACACATACCTTTTAATATGTATATTTAATTTTTATAAATTTGATATTATTAAAAAAATTAAAATCATACCTTTAAAATAAGTTTAATATTAAATATATTTAACAAAAATATAAATATTGCAAATTTATTGATAATAAAAAACATACATGAATCATTAACTACCTGTTGAACAAAATCAAAATTTATCACCACCATTTATGTTAGAAAATTTTGTTGTAAAATTCATTTTTCAAATGATCAATCACAGAGATAGAGAAGAGTTAGGTTGATGGGTTCTGTTTTTATATAAAAGATAGGTAAGGAAAATTGATGGAGGGAAAATTGATGGTAGTTTTGGAAGGAAATATTTAGAGAAGAAAATAGAGATTTGTGGTTGAAATTCGGATAAATGATAATCTACTCTATATTCAGTTTTAGAATAAAAAAATTTATTTTGATCCTCTAATGTAGAGTATTGGGTTGGAGATTCTTAGGGCCCCCAATACTCCCACCTACAAAATTCAAAATTGAGGAAATTTTTAAGAATGCTTCATATAATATCAAAACTTTCATTTCCACAAATCACTACACATCCACTTACATGCAATCCCTTACAATTAGTACGCTTACTAAAAATCCTATCCCCTCATAAAAACCTAACACCGGAGCCCCACTCCTAAAAATTCACCATCACAACCCCCTCACCATCAACCACAGAGAATCTCACCATTAACGATCTCTCGTCAATGATCTTTCACCACCAAGGATCTCTTACAGATGACAACCTCACCACTAACAATATATTTATGTTGGGGACAATATTCCTTGGCCAAATCGACATTTACGATCAATCATGTTACCAAACAAATTGGCCACATTCAAACCTATGTTTCTAGACATTCTAACTATGTTCAGTTCTATGTTACTGAACAATTTGTCCAAGTTTAGATGTGTTACCGAACAACCTAATATCTGAACAAAGTTTAACAAACAAATATAAGCTATGTTTAGTTACAGCTTGTCTAATTACTACCTCTAATTCGGTATTGCGCAGGCATTTTTTTGGCATGTGTTGGGAGTAAGAGTATCTCTAATGATTTATCAAAATTTTCACCAAATTTGAGTAAAAAAAAGATCATTTTCTCAATCTGATACAGACTGCTCCAATGATTGTCATCAAAACAGTGGTCGACCGATGGGTCGACCTGCCAATCGATCAGTTAGTGTATTTTTTTTACCTCTTTGAACCTTTTGACTTGTTTGAACCAACCTATTTGCAAAGGAATCGGTCGACCGTTTGGTCAATCAGCCGGTCAACTGACTGGTTGACCGGTTGGTCTCCCCCAACGGTCACGCACAGTAAATTGATGAAATATTTCCCCATGTTCTTACTTTGATGAAAAATTTGATAAATTCTCGTTTTGATACAAATTTGATGAAACCATTAGAGCTGCAAAAAGTGACTTTTTCACTAAATTTCAAATCTGATACAAGATTTAGTAAAACATTAGAGATGATCTAATAGTAAACTTCTAAAGATTTTGAATTCTTATCATGTATGGGGTGTTCCATTTGCAGACTTGCCATTTTTAACAATTTTATTTGAGATTGTTATATTAAAAAATAAGCCTCGAATAAAATAGAATCTATTAATAGCACTCTTCAAACAAACTTCATTCGTCTATGTGTAATTTACCATAAAATAATCCATTCATCATAAATACTAATTCATTTTAGAAAAGTCATTTTTTTTTATAATACAATTATTACACTTCAAATATATTAATACTAATATAGATAAATTCAAAATAATGACAATAAAAAACTCATACTATTTTAATTTTGATTTTTAAAAATTGATTAATATTTTGAAATAATAAAAAATAAGAGATTAATAGTAAAATAAAAATGTAATTTTATGTGTGCTCTTGTCAAGGAGCAAAAAATAATGTTTGGTGATCACAAATTTTATAACTCAAATGATCTAAAAATGCCAAAACAACATCGTTTTAACATTTTCAAAATTGTTTTATACTCAAAATAACATCATTTTAACATTTTCTAATCATTTGAACCATAAAATCTATGATCACCAATATTTGCCAAGGGGCAAAATCAATTTTTTTAGAAGTTGGAAACATCCGTTAGGAACAGATGACCAAAATTCAAATCTCCAAAACCCATTATACGTTACCTTTGGTAACCAACCAAAGAAGATAAATGCCTGACAAATAGGCAGCAAGACATTCTAGGAGACAAGATTCCACACCAACAATAATATCAGACACAAATGCCAGAAGCTACCACCCCCAATTCAGACAAACAAATATGCATAGCACTCATGTTCCAACACACTTTCCTTTCAAATTGGATAACAAAGCAAAAAAAATAAAAAAAGCAAAAGCATAAAAAGTAGAACGTAAATCAGAATCTATCTCAAATTGATTTCACTTTTTCTAGAGAAAGAGAGGGGAGATAAAAGAGAGGCCATAAAGCCTCCTCAGCCGCTGCATACATTTACATTGCAATTACAGTCACTAGTCGCTCACACCCAATTCAAACCTAACCTAAAAAACACTCATCACAAATAAGTGAAAATAAAAGGACTAAAGAATTGTAAAAGATAAAAAGATAAAAAGAAAACAACAATTAGCACTAAGACCCCTAATCCTATTCTTTTCTTTCAATCAGCACCCTACTGGAGTAGCCACTCCAGTCTTCACCTTGGGCGGCCGTCCTCTCCCCCTCGGCGTCCCACTCGCCGCCGTCGCCGGCGGCGCACCACCACCAGTCTTCGCCTTCTTCGGCGGCCTCCCACGGGGACGACCACTGCTGGCCGACGGCGACTTGGTCTGGGGAGGAGCCGAGGGGTCCCTGGGCTTCGGTGGTCGGCCTCTGGCTCGCGGCGGCGAAACCACGGCGTCCGGCGGGAGGTCCGCCTTGGGCTTCGGCGGCCGGCCACGGCCACGGCGCGGCGGAGCGTTGGGGTCGGGCTTCATGTAGTTGTTCTTGACCATGACGAGTTGACCGCTCTGCTTCATCTTGTTCAAATGGTGAGAGAGGAGAGTCATGTGAGCCGGAGGAAGCTCGCCGTAGGTGTCTTCGATGTGCTTCGAGATTGCTGACTTGTTCGAGCCGTTCTTGTCATCCAGAGCCTCGATCGCAGCCAAAATCACCTGTAAAAGGATCCGAAATTAGCACAGCCCAATTACCCAACTCAAATCAAGGTCGATCGGGGCATAAAATACTGTTTGGATACCGAGAAAATAAAAGCAAATAAATTCCAAGAAAACACATTTTGTTGTTTTACCTCTGGATACGGAGGGAGAATTGTAGGCGCTAGTGGGGGATGACTGAACTCTTCAGCTGCCATAAGTTAGAGTGAGAGTAACGGACAATTAGAGAGAGAGAGAGAGAGAGACTGTAGAGAAGAGCGATGCAGATGCAGAAACGTAAAGGGGGTGGGAAGAGATTTAAAAGGTGGGGGTTGCAGGCGGTCGGATCGAGCAAAAAGAGAAGGGATGAGTCTTTGATAGCTCATCCAACGGCTAGGGATTGTTTTAATGGTGAGAATCTAAGGGTTGTGTTTTATCCATGGGAAATACACGGATCGATGACGTGGAAGTATCGTTGTAAACAAAACCAATTTTTTCTTTTCTTTTCTTTTTGGACTTTGTACGAGGAATTAGCTATTTTCGTTGTATTTTTGATTATTTTAACTTGGTTAAAATATTATGTTTGAGAAGTTAATTAGTTTTTTTGTAGTTGATTTTATGACTATGATAGAAAAAATAAAATAATTATGAATTAAATATAATATTTTGTAATATTAATTATTTTAGTTAATTTTATCTTTTAATTGACTATTTTAACCTAATCTTCTTCTAAGGTCTTAGGCCTCTTTTGGGAACAGGCTAATTTAGTAATTTTTTGGTTATTTGGCTAAAATATGAGCTAAAAAAAACTAGTATGTTTGTGATGACTTTTTGACTTTTTACGAAAAGATATGTAAAAAGTAGAGAGAAAAGAGAATCTTTGACTTTTTGGTATGGGTTACTGGCTTTTTAGCTAATTTAGGCCAAGTTTGGGAAGACTAAATAAGTGCACTTTTTGACTTTTTATGAAATATGAATTGAATTTGGGTTGGGTTTGAAGTGATGTGTTAGAGAGGTGATGTGATTTAAATAAGATGATGTAACTTAAATAGGATAGTGGCTTTTTGACTTTTTGAATTTTTTTGAGGATGCCAAACTTGACCTTAGTAACTTTTTGACTTTCTGACTAAAATAGAGGGTTTCCAAACGAGGCCTTAGTAATGCTATTCAAATTAAATTTATTTCCTATGTTTTGGTTCTATCTTATTATTTTAGATAAATTATACTTTGTCTTTTTTTTTCTTTTCTTTTTTTTTAATGTTTGATCACTTTCTTATTTTTGGCCTTTAAATTTTTTTTTTCCCCTAACTTTGGACTTTTCATTTTTCAAGATTTTGTTAGTTTACTCCTAAAACTAATTTATATATAAAAATAAAATTAAAAAAATTAGACAAAAAATGGCACATTAACTGTCACGTGATATAAAAATATTTTATTATATATAACTCACACCTCTGACATAAACTTAAATCCCAATATAATAATATTTTTTTATGTTATGTGACACTTTTTATGATATTTTCTGTCTAATTTTGAATAAAAATTAGATTTTTGAGTAAATTGTGAAAACATAAAGAGTTAAAGTGTGTAAAAAAAAAATAAAAATAAAAAACCTTTAATGCTAAAGTGAAAAAAAGTGACCAAATATAAAAAGGACAAAATGTAATTTATCCTACTATTTTAAGGAAAACTTACCAATAAATCTTAATGGTTTGACTTAATGTCTATCAAGTTATATTGAAGATAAATCCTAGTAAAAGTATCGCTAAAAATAATTTATTGTGACAATTATATGCATGTCACTAAAAATTGACAATTATTGATTTTTTTTTATCATGATTTTTATAATTGTCACTAAAACTTACAATTAGTGACGTTTTTTGTGATAAATTTTCAAACAGTTGCCGAAAATTGAAAATTAGTGACCATTTTTTTAAACCATCACTAAAATTTATAATTAGTGACAATTTTTTATGACAATTTTTAAATTTTCATGAAAAATTAATAATTAATACTTTTTTTTAATAATATTTGATAAAAAATATTATTAATTATCATAGAACTTACACGTAAACCTCCTTATTTTAATGTGTTTAATTTCCATATTTTAACTTTCATTATTGCACAGTTGCATCAAAGAAAGGTCTACAACTTGAGGAAGTTTGGCCAGGTTCAAGGCTCTGTGATTTCCAAAGTAAATTTTTAACATGGGGCCTTCTATCCATATAAAAAAATTAAAAAAATTCCAAAACAAGCTTATGAATCGATTTTGAATTTTTTTGGCAAAATTGAATTAGTTAGTAATTTAAATTTTATTTAAAAGTATTGAACTTTCATATGGATGAGTATAAAACACAAATTATTAGCCTTGTGAATAGACAATTTTTTTGGCAAAATTGAATTAGTTAGTAATTTAAATTTTATTTAAAAGTATTGAACTTTCATATGGATGAGTATAAAACACAAATTATTAGCCTTGTGAATAGACAATTTTTTTGGCAAAATTGAATTAGTTAGTAATTTAAATTTTATTTAAAAGTATTGAACTTTCATATGGATGAGTATAAAACACAAATTATTAGCCTTGTGAATAGACAATTTTTTTGGCAAAATTGAATTAGTTAGTAATTTAAATTTTATTTAAAAGTATTGAACTTTCATATGGATGAGTATAAAACACAAATTATTAGCCTTGTGAATAGACAATTTTTTTGGCAAAATTGAATTAGTTAGTAATTTAAATTTTATTTAAAAGTATTGAACTTTCATATGGATGAGTATAAAACACAAATTATTAGCCTTGTGAATAGACAATTTTTTTGGCAAAATTGAATTAGTTAGTAATTTAAATTTTATTTAAAAGTATTGAACTTTCATATGGATGAGTATAAAACACAAATTATTAGCCTTGTGAATAGACAATTTTTTTGGCAAAATTGAATTAGTTAGTAATTTAAATTTTATTTAAAAGTATTGAACTTTCATATGGATGAGTATAAAACACAAATTATTAGCCTTGTGAATAGACAATTTTTTTGGCAAAATTGAATTAGTTAGTAATTTAAATTTTATTTAAAAGTATTGAACTTTCATATGGATGAGTATAAAACACAAATTATTAGCCTTGTGAATAGACAATTTTTTTGGCAAAATTGAATTAGTTAGTAATTTAAATTTTATTTAAAAGTATTGAACTTTCATATGGATGAGTATAAAACACAAATTATTAGCCTTGTGAATAGACAATTTTTTTGGTTGCCGTCTCAAAAAATAAGAGTATTTGCGACGGTATTTTCTGCCGTCGCAAATACTCTCATTTTTTGAGACGGCAAATGGTGCCGTCGCAAATACTCTGCTTTTTTGAGACGGCATTTTCTGCCGTCGCAAAAAGTGACTTTTTGAGACGGCAAGTGTGCCGTCGCAAAAAGTTCCATCTCATATACCCAGTTTTCTTGTAGTGAAAATTACTAATGAAGTTTGTTTTATTCGACTTGTTAATCAAATCCATTTAATTTTTCTCGCTACATAGTTGACTTAATGTACGTTTGGAATAGACTTGTTTTATTATTATTTTTTATTTTTTAGCTAAAATAGAAGGTAAAAAAAACTAATATGTTTGGAATAATTTTTTGAATTTTTATGAAAAAAGTGCAAAAAGTAGAGTGAGTGGAAATGAATTTTTTACTTTTGGATATATGTTAACTTCTTTTTTTTCCGTCACTTTTGAATTTTAGGCTAAAATCTTAACATGCCGAATGAGGCTTTAATATAAGATTTAATCAATTTCAATTTTGAAAAATTTCATTCGTAGAATCAATTTTAATAACTATAGTCAATAGAATTCTATACATGATCCATACATTTGAAAAACAATCACCGATTAGTTTCAAATAATTCACCACATCAATTAATTTTTTGATTTATTTTTAATAAGCCTTTTGTCATGAACAAGTATAATGATAGATATTTTTTGGAGGCCTTTTTTCAATCAATTTTTAAGGGCCCAAAGCGGCTGCTCGCTCGGCTTGTCCCCAAATTCAACCCTGGCTATATTGATAGTTTTTTTTTTCCTTGATAAAATAAATTTCCATTAAAGTAAAGATTGCCAAACGGCACTTGCAAGGAAATCATCAACAGGCTTACATCCAACTAAGGAAAAACAATGTGCAAACAAAGGAAATCTCCAAAAGAAGCACCAAAGATAAGTTATGGATAGATCAAAGCATGACATTCATACTGCAAAGTAGAGATCAATCATAAGAGCTCGACATTAGAATAAGTCAAAGATAAATTCATAGGCTATATCTAAACTGTGTGGGTAAGTTATGAACACACCAACAAACAAAAACCAAAAACACAAAACCCTAAAACCTATAACTACTAGGCAGCGGAGCAAGGTGAAGACGACAAATCTGGTAGAAATAAATTTCCATTAAAGTAAAGATTGCCAAGCGGCACTTACAAGGAAATCATCAACAAGCTTACATCCAACTAAGGAAAAACAATGTGCAAACAAAGGAAATCTCCAAAAGAAGCACCAAAGATAAGTTATGGATAGATCAAAGCATAACATTCATACTGCAAAGTCGAGATCAATCATAAGAGCTCAACATTAGAATAAGTCAAAGATAAATTCATAGGCTATATCTAAACTATGTGGGTAAGTTATGAACACACCAACAAACAAAAACCAAAAACACAAAACCCTAAAACCTATAACTACTAGGCAGCGGAGCAAGGTGAAGACGACAAATCTGGTAGAGGGAGGCAGTGGATCCGGCGAAAAAAGAAGGCGAACAAGACGCGATGGTGGCTGAATAGAAGGTGTAGAACATGGAGGCAACGTCGAAGTGGAGCAAAGGGGAGGAGAAACGGTGAATACGGTGAAGGCCATGGTTAGAGTTAAGGCAAAAAAGAAGATAAACACCTCACAAATGGAGGAAAAATGGTGGAAAATCAAAAACTTCCAAGTTATTGAAAAAAAAAAAAATGGAGAGAAAGAGGGGTAAGAAGAGGGGTGTAACATGCCTAGGGGGTACCCGCACGCGTTAAATAGTTCGGACTCTTAATCTCTTAGATCTAGTCTCACAAGTGCAATGTGAAACATAGATGAGAGTCCAAATCCAACAACTTTTATAGAAAATTCATTTTATTACAAAACATTTACCAAAAATGGACTGTATCACCAGATCTTAGAGTCGCCACCTAATATTTAGGGAAATTAGGAAACCCGTGACTCGTGCCGAGGCCAAGTTCGTCGTAACCAAAGATAGCTCGGTTCGAAACCTTAGGTATGAAATGGAAAGGTCATTAATTAAGCAC